GTCCGGAGAAGCATTTGTATGATGCTGACATCTGCTATAATGCGATACTATACACCAGCGAGTTTGATGGGTAAAATGGCAGAAGATATTCGTGTGAACCATCCACATTGGTGGGATCCATAAAGTTATTAGCCTCTACCATCCCGACAGCATTGTGATTGGTAGATTCATTGGTGCTGCCTTCCCCCCTTTTTGCATCCAAATGCCCCCTGATCTGATACGTATGTTGCTCCTTTAATTAACAGGATTATTGGGTCCGCCATTCCCCCTTTTCTTACATATAAAATACAACCATTCCAGACTGGACACCAACATGGCGACGGCCGTTCCGAGCATGAGGTAGTAGAAAAGGCCATCCAGGTTGTCCAATCCCAGGACACCATCGTCCGGAGCTGAGTCAGCGTAGCAGTTGTAATTCTTCTTGTTAAACCACCTGCGAACGGATTAGATAATGGGATCAGCCTACAGCTTAATGTAGGGACGGCTCCAGAAGAAAAACTCCGGAGACCAGCCGTTTTGGTGGGTTTATTCTGCAGACATGCCTGTTTTTACGATGGTCAGATCATAAAATCGACCACTGTTATTACAATTTTGAAAAACACGTCGTGCCGAGCAGGTAATAAGATACGCCAAAGAACAGTTACTCGAGCAACTGGATAAGATCTTGGAAACAGTCAGACGTTTCAGGTAGCATCCACTACCTTTCATCAGCAACACTGGAAAGCTAGTGGATGCTACCTGAAACGTCTGATCGTTTCCAAAATCATATATCCAGTTGCTTGAGTAACTGTTTTTTGGTGGGGGACATAACGAGTTTAGCACAATACGTCCTGCTAGTGTGACCTATATTGACCTGTTCTCAAGTACATCCATCTGCCCGGCCGCTGCCATGTCCATCAGGGCCAGGTTGACCTCCGTCCGGTAAGGCGAACCGAGCCGAAACGGAAGGGCGACCTGATACTTGTAGAAGTACTCGTCAGTGAGGATGACCATGTCACACCTCTTGTTGAAAATCTCGTACTCGTAAGTACCGGCTGAAATGAAGATGAAGTCACCCTTAGCTGCGCGCTCAAATGCCTCACGGGTATTGTTGGTGAGGACTTCATCTGCAAAGGAAACGATGCAATGACAACTTCATTACTCGGAACAACAAGACTAAATGAATAGCATCATCTCAATAACAGAATGTATTCTAATTGCTGTCATGCTGTCATAGATAAAGAAAGCATTCAATGACGTTCCCAAACTTGTATTTTTTCATTTCAACATTTTATGACTAGATATGGTGACGGCACACTCAACTTATTTTATGTCGCCACCAACACAGAGGACAAATACAGGACAGGACAATACTCATGTCCACTTGAGTCAAGAAGTGAGGCATGCCGCCTCAAGTACCCTTCCCAAGGGCAAGGGCAAAAGATCTGTGACGTGTCATGACTCGAAGCCGGGACCTTTTGGTTCCAAGTCGAGCACTCTGTCGTTATGCCACACGACCCCAAACATGAAATAGCTATAGTCATTTCAATATATTTCTGTGACCAAATTCAAATTTAGCAATAACTTTGCTTGATACGACCATTTGACTGTATCGAAAAGAACTTTCTAGTTGCGTGGATTACTTTACCTGAATTCTTGTCGAGATATCGCCCAAGAGTCTTAAACGGCTCCTCCTGAGACTTCTTTAAGAACTTGTAAAAGCTGTATCCTTTGAAGGTTCCGTACGGCACGTCCGTCTGCCCAGCCAGGTCAGACAGACTCCTGATGGTCTGGTCTACTGAAGGATGGGACAGGAAGGCAGCCAAGTTGGCTGGAAAAAAACATTTGATAGTCAATGATGCCATCACAACTATAATGATCCTAACGTACACCTTAACACTTCAAAAAGTTCTATGTTTATAACCGCAATGACCACTTTGAACGACGCTATCGTCAAATAAATATCGCTCAATATGTTGATTCTGCCGTATTTCCAGCCGATGTAGTAGAGTAATTTCAACCTTTAGACACAGGATCTAGATGATATTGCCATGTTACGTCATTATCTCGTAATAAAGTAACTTGTTACATACCGGTATAAGACGCGATGATAACCAGTATGAAAAACCACCAAGTTCCAGCTATCACTCTTCCGGCAACTGATCGGGGTAGAAACTCTTGTCCCTGGCTCACAGACGCTCCATAAGTGGACCTGTAAAAGACAAAACTTTGTCATTACAGTTTCTTCCTGGACAAGGGTTCATGTCAGACAGTTTACAGTTTTAAGTAAAAACCCTAATGACCCACTCTCCTGGACAGTCAGGCCTTATTTTGCCCAATTCTACCATCCTAAGAAGGCCTGGTGAAGGCTAGAACTCACTCAACTTACCAGAGACTGTTGGCGAGGCTAAGGTTGTCTGCCTCCTCTGCCGACACCTCTCCCCGCCCGGCTGCTCGAGCCCACTCGTACGGGTTCAGACGGCCGTTTGCCGCCAAGACAAGACTCACTCCCACAGCGGCGGCCACAAAGCATAGCCACACCTGCATAACGTCGTATCAAGGAAACGTTGTCAGACTAGACATCGCTCCCTTCCTTTGTATTTTATTGGTCTTACTACTTTCTACAGATATGATTTCCGTTAACATATGTAAAATATTAAAACAAATTTTGTTTTTAACGATTGAAGAGGAAGAATCGCTGAGACAAAATTATATTCTGCGCAAACCAATTGATATTTACCTCTCCAGAAAATGGTTTCATGAACTTGAAGATACGTGGATCGTGCAGACGATCTGGTTTTTTCGTGGTCAGGAAGTACCCGCGTGTGACAAGTGGGAGGGAAAACTCTATTTTTCCATGCAAGTTGGGCCGCATTGCCGTGGGACACAACACCATGTCATACTGTGGGCAGAAAGAAGTCGAAAAAACTGGTCAACTAATGTCTGAGTGAAGTATCAACCTGCAAGTCAGAGAATAAGTGATTTAAGATTTTGAGGAAACAAAGCATTGACGGAGGCAAATATTTACCTGACGTTTGGTACAGGATAAACGGATAGTGAGAACTAACCTTGCCCGACTTGACTGTCTCCAACATCTTCGATTGAGAGGCCTTGCCCGTCCCAGTAAGGTCCCACGTGAAGTTCAGTCGTGAAGCCAACATCTCCAGCAGGTCCAGCATATAGCCGTGATACAGAGCCGAACCAACCTTGCCACTTTTCCCTGGTTTCTTCATGAAGTATGGTTTATTCTGTAAAGCAAAGATCGGTTCGACATGACTAGTCTATCGTATCAAGTGTTGCAAACTGAACATAAGAGTAAATCACAGTCAATTGAAACGGCACGAGTATTGGGTAAGAGATCTCCAAGCCTTAAACAGTGTAACCTTTGCACTAGTTGTACAAATGTCGTGACATCGTGTGCGGATAGAAAATGACACAGTACGTCCACGCGGCACAAATGTTGAACTTACGAAATCGGCGTAAACTCGAATGTGTCGTCCCGACAGTAGGTTGATGTCGATGGGTCTCTGCCATTTTTTCTTAAAACCTGTCGTGCCTTCCGGGGTCCAGGTCCCCACCTGTTAAACGGACAACCCGAAAACATACGAATTTCAGATGATGACAATCACTAGCAAGCTAGTCCATCCCGGTATCTTTGCTGCATGCTATTTCAATTTCAATTTATTTATTTAACCAGTAATTACAGCTAGCTCAGGCCATGGAAATGGGCACTCGGTAAATTCCCTGCAACATTAAAGACTAGATTTACTGCCAAACGTATTTCATACAGGTAATCACCTGTTTTGTCTTCCCGTGGAGGTACTCATGAACGAAGACTGTTAAATTCATCCTCTTCCCACAGCTGTCAAACTCAAAGGACACATGCCCGCTGAATCCGGAGAAGGTTTCCTGGAGAAACAGCAAGCTGTCAGAATAAAAGCTGATCTACGATGGTAATAAGAATTTCACAGCATAAAGTGATTTTTCGATGGATACTATGATCTTCATCAGGACTGATGACCCATATTCCGGAAAAATGTACCTTACCTCGGTTATATAGTTTCTGTTTGAACGGCAATTTATGCTTTTTGGAGCTAAGTCAGCCTTGTTTGATCTACGGGAAAATCCCGTGACCAGGTCCGGAGACAGGCTGCTCACGACCCTGACTGCATCTAAAGCCAGCCGCATCCTGTAAGACAGCTGACCATCAGGCAAGTCTCGTCCCCAGGGAAGATCTGACTGAGGGAAGGGGCGGAGCAGCGTCAGGAGTGCTCCACTGCTTCGGGCGCTCTGCAGGTCACTCTCTCGGACATCCTGTTGAAATGTTTCACATAATTACTTATAGGAACAGCACTTCTTTCTATCACCTAATCCTACCCAACTTCCTAACATCATTGTCAATTGATCAGAACGTATTTTTGATGAGGAAACTTTAAAACACAAGTTCCCAAAAGATATGGTAAATCAGATCGTAAAATAAGTTGATGACTATTTTTACAGGAGCCCTTCACAAATCTTCCTCAAATGTATACATGTGTACTCACGAAACTTGTGATGATCCAACGGCTCTGTGATGTAAGAAGCAGCATGTTGGCAGCCTGTTGTGGGAAATAAAAGGACGACACATATGCGTTACCTAGTGGCCTGTTAGAAGTTCTTGATACTGTCAACATCTCTAGTTATTAGTGATATACAACTTGTCAAAAATACAACGCGTTTAGAACGACTCTCAACACGAAGATGTGACTCATTGTTGATTAGTCAACCATCTCTGGTTGGTCTCCAGGATCCTGACGTGACTGAAATCCCGTCCAAAAGGTGACCTCTTCTCTTCATTATGTTAGTTACCACACAACAAATACACCCTTTGATGGATTCATGCCAGTGCTATAAACTCTAACCTTGCCCAGAATGATCCCCACAACATCAGCGCTTGTCATCAGAAGGACATTCGAATTCATCCGCCCTGCAGTCATGACGTCAGACAAAATGGCGTCCAGATCGTCGCCGTCTTCCTTGTCAACTGGAATCTCCTGAGACCAGAGGGGGAACTCGCGGGAGGCTGCTTCATTCAGTATGGCTTCAAAGCAGCTGTAAAACTCTGCAACATGGTGATGGGAGGGGTCAATATCAGGTCTCCAGTCAATCATTAATATTTCACTCACTACTAAGTATATTCACTCTTAGTAAAATGTTGAACTTTATTCCAACACAAGGATTACACTGTCGACTTTATCAGGATAATTAATGACCAATCACTAGCTTCAAAACGTAATCTCGCGAGAGTTACGGTTACAGACATGTGACCTTTTTCACACGATCTACTCTTGTATGTTGAAGCAAACGAACGATTTTGGCATGCAAAATATGCAATACAATGTTGGAGAAAGACAGCCATGCCAATACGGCACTGTAGTACGACGACCACTTGAACAAGCATTGTGATTTTTGAAAAATCACAATGCTTATTCAGGTGGTCAAGGTAAGGTAAGATTGTAGACCTGCTCAGCCAACTCACCGGATTTCGCAGCTGGTACTAGGTATTCTGGTTCCCGGACCGGACATCTGGCACTTTTATTGCACAGATAATCAAAGTTTTTCACTCACCTGACCGCTTGTTGTACACCATATAGGTCTCCCTCCAGCCTAGGGCCTCCATGACGTCAAACAACATGGTTGCCATCTGCTCTGGGGACGGGAAGATGTCCAGTACCTTGGAGTGGAGAGCTGGTGTTTCCGGATCCGGTTGGTACATGCGCACAACCACTGGAGCCGGTTGTGGTCCGTCTGTAAGTCCGCAGGTACAGGGGGTGGGGAGGGGGGTCATCAGGATCACGGCGTGGAGGGGGTCCTGGGCACCAACTGGGGAGTGGAAACTGGATGAGTAAATAAACTCTATCTACTCCTGCTGCATTTCAGGTTCACATAGTTGAACCAAGGACAGGGAAATATTGCTGCACCGTGTGTTCAGCAACAAGGACAGCCACTATGGTAAACTTTATTGGTTAACTGGTCACTAAGAGTTATTATTAACTAGGAGTAAGTAGTTACTTGTTATACTTTCAATTTACGTAGAATTTGTTTGAAATGTTACTGGGAGTCATTTCTCACTCATTCATCTAGTCACAAGTCCAATACGTAGAAAAACTCCATTCTCGCATACCTTTGAAACAGAGGCTTATCAACCAACCGTTATGGCCAACGTTAAGAGTGGAAGATGCCAGCATGCGTCGTTCATTCACGAGCAGCTACCTATCGATCGTTGATAACATGCAGTTTTTGCCCGTGGATACTAGTATTCAGAGACCACGAGATCTTACGGGGGCATAAAAACTTAGTCAAATGAAGACCATGTAAATCGCCATTTAGGATACAATATGGCACCGACTACGGCTAGTGATATCTGTACGCTATGACGTCATCCAGGTTCTCACATCTTTGGATGACGCTATGATGGTTATTACACTTTTGGCATGGCGCTTTTTTCCGTGTCTTGTTTTTGCTACGCACAAAGATCATCATGATCAAATGTCCACCCACCTTGGCGGAGAGGACAGCTTGTTGCACCTTTGTCCAGTTGAATACCGGTCAGGGCCAGGTCCTTGCTGCTGTTGAGACTACGGACACTGGATGTCATCGCGGCAAAAAAGTCCCCTTCGCCAACGTCATAGACAACACCTAAACCAAACAACATAACGCATTAGGCATCTATGACATCTGTAGGGGCTAGCGCATTGGTTCACGTCTTGTGGTGATTGTCCTCGGAGACCAGACCTTATTACGCTGTGATTTAGGCTCTGACTAGTAGATTTTAGGCTTGCCCTATGCAAGATAGACACTGTATATGCGTCGTTCAATTAATTTGTCCAGTGGGGTTAAATAGTGGTTTGTTATTAAGTACACAGAATGTTTTAAAGTGATGAGAATGATACAATTTACATTTAACTACGAACATCTATGCTTTCAATGTCACTGTACAGCAGTTTGATTACTATACAAATATAGGTGATACTCTCAATTGCAGTATACAAAACAACACATGACAGGCCTAGCCAAGAACGCTACCAGTGAGGCTAACAAGTAATTGTATTTTTTACCTACCAATTTTTAACTTGTTTCCATCACCATGGCAACCGCAGGACAACGCCAGGAGGATCCCGATCGTCCAGGCAGGAGGAAGCCTGAGGCAGGTCAATGCCGCCATCTTTCCTTTCTACAGGAGACTAGGGTACGCAGTAGGACAAGCCTCAGTTACGGTCGATGTACATAAGTCATTACACGGCCCAGCGGAAACTGCAGCACGTTGTTAGGACTGCTAACGTCGTGTGCCAGTACTTACGAGTACTTCAGAAAACAAACAAATCTTGTTTTAATTTGTCCTCCTTAAAAGCATTTGGTCCATTACGATTTCGTGTCTGTTGTCTCCTGTTTGACCTGTAGTCATTTCGAGTATTGACCTTGATTTTGTTTCTGGCTTTCCATGATGGAGAAGGATTGTGTTCGTACATTATGCCATTGCTATCGGAAGTTAACGTTATTATCGAAACAGAGTGCCAATGGGAAGGAATGAGTGCTCATCACAGTATTAATTGAAGTTGAGAAGTAAATGGACACGCGGCGGCAATTTCTGAGGAAAAAATGCTTCAATGTCTCCACCTTGAGATGTGAACGACTTGCTTTTTTTCGAAATGTGCCGAACAGCCACTCGAAAACGCGTACGGTGTTTTTATATTCGGTCAGTCCTCGAGCTACAATTTGCCTAATTTGAGCTCCGATTGCCACTTGCTATGGACCTAGCGCAATAAGTGTCCGGCCCGATCCATTGAACAGTAATAGACCGCATGAGGCCGAAGTGGTGCCGGCTTTACGTGAATTATTTATAAGCCTAACAGGAAAAAGAGTATATCTATCATCGGTTGTACTTTGCGATGCCGATAAGGGTGAGATCTGAAACAAATGGCCAAATGAGATAGCTGCATTTTACTCCTCCGTCAGCCAACTACATGTAACTTCTGGTTTTCCCTTTACTTCGTACCAAAGCATGGTTTTATTACCCGTATTCACGCGTTTTGTCTACTTAGCATATCCGGTCTTTTTCACCAGTGTTTCCGGCCAGTAAACTAAAAACATATACGCGTACGTGGTTAACGAAAATGTAGACTAGTGCCTTACTTTGTCCCGCAAAAATATTTCTTATTTGAATTTTCCTACGCCTTCGTTCAATGCCATTAAGGATGTAGAATCAACATTATTCATACCCATTAAATCAATTGTGATAGTAATTGGCCTACCAAGGGTTTGAATAAGTTTGTTGTTAATTGTACGTATTGTATATTATTGTATTCTTGTCAATTTTCTCTACTGTACACTGTCTCTTCCATAACCCAACTGCGATTTGCAATTTATGTAGAACCTGCCAGTCGTTTAGGCAAACCATATTGATATACTAATATAATATACAGAAGATGCTGGCCAATGGGAAAGACCAATGCTTATGTGGCGTCCCCTGTTAAAACCTGCGCTGAAGTGAAAATCACTAAATGACACGGAGAACGAATAACAGTGTTAGACAGACTACATACACAGTCAGTGGGGTTTATTCAGCGTTGTTCCATGGCTGAGTGGCCTGGAAATACAACACGGTCTGCACTTCTCAGTTTCCTATGTTAGGTATAAGGCAGCATGCTGTTATAGTACAACAATCGCCGTAACATCAGACTCTGCTCATGTGTATACGTGTCTGAATTCCAATGCTATAAACATCTGTGATATACATTTGTTTCACATGCAACATGCTTTAGTTACAACTGCTGCGTCTTTGGAGGCTCATATTATTAAGTAATGGAAACCATTTGTATGCTGACATGCGATAACAGTGACGTATAGGTGCGTAAAATGGCAGAGGATATTCGTGTGAACCATCCACATTGTGATGTACATAAAGTCATGAGCCTCTGCCATTCTGACATAATTGTGATTGGCAGATTCATTGGTACTGCCTTCCCACCTTTTATTGCCAGCAATTTGTATGCTGACATCTGCTATAATGCGATACTATACGCCAGCGAGTTTGATGGGTAAAATGGCAGAAGATATTCGTGTGAACCATCCACATTGGTGGGGTCCATAAAACCATCCTGACAGCATTGTGATTGGCCGATTCATTGCTCCTGCCCCCCCCGCCTTTTATTGCATCCAAATGCCCCCTGATCTGATAGCCCTCTACCCACTGGGCCCATCACCCCCCCCTCTTTTGCATTTCAAATCCAACCGATCCAGACAGGACACCAACATGGCGACGGCCGTTCCGAGCATGAGGTAGTAGAAAAGGCCATCCAGGTTGTCCAATCCCTAGACTGGACACCATCGTTTCTATGATGACATCTACTATAATGTGATACTAGTGAGTTTGATAGGGAAAATGGCAGAAGATATTCGTGTGAATCATTTCCACATTGGTTAGGTCCATTAAGTCATAAGCCTCTGCTTTTTTTATATCCATGACGCTTCTTTAATTAACTGATTCATTGCGCCCGTCATTCCCCCTTTTCTTACATTTAAAATACAACCATTCCAGACTGGACACCAACATGGCGACGGCCGTTCCGAGCATGAGATAGTAGAAAAGGCCATCCAGGTTGTCCAATCCCTAGACTGGACACCATCGTTTCTATGATGACATCTACTATAATGTGATACTAGTGAGTTTGATAAACATGGCAGAAGATATTCGTGTGAATCATTTCCACATTGGTTGGGTCCATTAAGTCATAAGCCTCTGCTTTTTTTATATCCATGACGCTTCTTTAATTAACTGATTCAGTGGGCCCGTCATTCCCACTTTTCGTACATTTAAAATACAACCATTCCAGACTGGACACCAACATGGCGACGGCCGTTCCGAGCATGAGGTAGTAGAAAAGGCCATCCAGGTTGTCCAATCCCAGGACACCATCGTCCGGAGCTGAGTCAGCGTAGCAGTTGTAATTCTTCTTGTTAAACCACCTGCGAACGGATTAGATAATGAGATCAGCCTACAGCTTAATGTAGGGACTGCTCCAGAAGAAAAACTCCGGAGACCAGCCGTTTTGGTGGGTTTACTCTGCAGACATGCCTGTTTTACGATGGTCAGATCATAAATTCGACCACTATTATTACAATTTTGAAAAACACGTCGTGCCGGGCCGTGAAACTAGCCTTGAAACGGTTTTTGTTGGGTGTTTGGTCAACGTTGCATCAGAATTCTAATTTTGCCTGTTGCAGATATGTCATTTCCGACACAACACTTGGAAATTATAGCAGGAGGCTCATCCTCAAATACGCGAATACAACCTTACACGAGAAATATTTGCTGAATTCGGAGTGCTATACACAATACGTTACGGGTTACGTCGGTGGGGGCTAGATATCCAGGTAATAAGATACGCCAAAAAACAGTTACTCGAGCAACTGGATAAGATCTTGGAAACGGTCAGACGTTTCAGGTAGCATCCACTACCTTTCATCAGCAACACTGGAAAGCTAGTGGATGCTACCTGAAACGTCTGATCGTTTCCAAAATCATATATCCAGTTGCTTGAGTAACTGTT